GTGGTGCCGGTGCCGGGAGGCCGCGGGTGAGGAGCTGCCGCCCGGTTGTCAGCCTTCCCGCGCCTCACGGGCTTCTCTGTTCCTCGGCAGGTTGGGAAGGGCGAGCTGAGGAAGGTGCCGGTGCCGGCCAACAGGTATACGCCGCTCAAGGAGAACTGGATGAAGATATTCACGCCCATCGTGGAGCATCTGCAGCTTCAAATTAGGTTCAACTTGAAAACGAGAAATGTTGAAATCAAGGTAAGACGGACTCCTCCCTCCCCGCCTGACAGGCAAGGCCTCCCCTCGTGGGTGTTCTGGTTCTTAGAGACTCGGGCAGCATACTAACTTGGAAAAATTGGAAACTGTATAGTCTCACCTAAACAGAAAACCCTCACAGGAGATCAAATCTGGCAATTATTGCTTAGAACAAGTAGTTAATGCAAGGAATGTCCAAAAGTACAAATCTGTTCCAGAAGGGGCCACCATCAGCTGGGGCAGGTATTCAGTTTTCATAAGAGAAAATTGTGGACTTTAGAATTAGAGAAGAATGTTAGTCTATGTGTTAGATATGGTTTTAGAATTCAGTGTTTTCCAGCTGTATAAGGCTAGTAAATGCTTGCCTCACAATGACTGAACAAGTGGGTCACTGAATCTTCTAATGCCTTTGTTTGCGACAGGTGATGAGGACCTGTACTTTTGATTGCTTGTGATTTTTCTTTAATGGATTGCACTGGAGTAGCTTAGGGCACAGATACCAATATATACCTGTAACTGTTGTAGATGCTCATTCTTTATCCTTATTCCTTCTCCAGAATGTTCAGACTAGCCGTTTTTAATTGTAGATCCAAGCCTTCAACATACAACTCACTGTATTAGCAATATTGACATATGAGATCTTCCAATGTAAAAGTAAAAATACAGACACTGACAGGAATTTTGCTTTCTAACCTTGAGCAATCTTACCACAAGTTTGATGGCAGGAACCAGAGGAAAGGTGACAGAACTATCCCTTATTTACACTTCATAGAAATATCCTCAAGGCAGAGGTAGGGAGGAACAGGAACTGCTGCAGTTCCACTCAGTAACTGTGCAGGAGCAAAGCCTGGGACTTCAGCACTGCTTTCTGATAGGAAGTGATGTCTGGGTGAGAAGCCAAGATGGTTTTGTTCTTGATCAAACTGATTTCATTTTGCCCATATCCACCACAAATATAAAATGATTGAAAACTGAAATGAGTTTCATTCACCTGCTAAAGCATCTTTAGGATATTGTCGTTAGAATAACTCTCCTACCATTATCATCCTTCTCTTTTTTTCTGCTGTTCTCTATTGCAATTTAGTTTGTGTTGGTTTTTTTCCCATGAAGAGGGCTCTCCTCAGTCAGTGGCGGGGGGGCTTCTCTCCCCTCTCGGCACAGCCTGGGGTAGCTGACAGCCCTTCATGTTGAGAGTCAACATGATAACAAAACACAGTCTTTTACTTGGGTCTTTCAGTAAAACACAGTATTAGGATCATTAACTGAATGTGGCTTTTTATGGTTAGGCTGCATCCCTGAGATTTTTCAAGTCCTGATTCTAACTTGCCTGGTGTGAATTTACATAACTTCTTGCCTTGCAGACTTGTCAAGAGACAAAGGATCTCAGTGCTCTGACGAAAGCAGCTGATTTTGTGAAAGCATTTATACTTGGGTTTCAAGTAGAGGTGAGTCTCCCAACGGCTATGTTGTCCAGTTTGCTGGCATGACATCTTTGGACTCTGCAAATTACAGGAAGAAAGAAAGAAAAATCCTTAGGTGGTTTCCTAGAAATACAACCGTTACTAGGGTGGCCATCCAGTTTCTTAAGATAATGCAGGATTAAAAAAAATAACCTTCAAATAGCACATAATTAAAATTCTGAAACAGAGGACATATTTTGCTGTATGTGAGAGACTAGCATGAAGCAGTAATTGGCTGTAAGGTGCTCTCCACAGGTAGACACTATTCATTTTGCTTTAGTCCAAGCCAGTAACCTGCAGTCTGTGTAAAACACAAACTTCACTAAGAAAACAAACCCTCTTTCTGCAGTATCGTAGTGACTGCTCCTTGCCCCAGACCTGTACTGACTTCACTAGCATAGATGGGGCAGGGGTGAATGCAGCATCAAGCGTATGTAAGGTTCTCTAGACAGAAATATTGATGTTGCTGTTGCAAAAACCAGTCTAACTGTAGCTATTATTTGCTAGATTAAGTGGAGAAATACAACCGATGTCATCTGTTCATATGTATGAAGAGAACATCAGTTTTCAACTGTGCTGTGGTACTGGAGCACTTGTGGTGATAACACACATCTTACTCTTTCAGGATGCTCTTGCTCTCATCAGATTAGATGATCTTTTTCTAGAGTCATTTGAAGTTACAGATGGTGAGTAGTTTACGCTGCAGTATTCTAGTAGGTGTGTGTGCCTCCAGCAAATACATCTGTGCTTTTTCATTCCCCTTGCTCCACTTGTGTTGCTTGCACTCAGGGATCAGGAGAGTGAGAAACATCTATTATTTCATGTATTACTGGGACTCCTTGGAGTCCCCTTAGAGCAGCATCTAAACCTGATCTACTTAATTTCTACCAGTGTTAACTGTGGGCACTTTGGCTGATTGCTCAGTCTGAAGTGCAGTGGAAGGCATTCTGTTCTGCTGAGAATTTCTCTCAGATGCCAGAGACTTCACAGTCAGGTAGCACTGGATGCACTTTGTACTGCTGGTCATGAAAGGTGAAATCTGTGCGAATGGGTATTCACCAGTGAAGTTGTTTTTGTGTTACTTGGCATGAGTTGCTTCCAGTAACTTGACCGAGGGAGGCATTACAGGGATACACACCACTGCTCTTACCCTGGGCATGTTATTCTCATTTCAGTCAAACCTCTGAAAGGAGATCATCTGTCAAGAGCAATAGGGAGAATAGCAGGGAAAGGTGGAAAAACCAAATTCACTATAGAAAATGTAACCAGGACACGCATCGTTCTTGCTGACGCGTAAGTACAGACTGACTTCCTCCTGGGCAAAGCACAATCCCTCAGCTAATCCATCTTCTCTGCCAGAAACAAGGATAACTTGATTTTATTCAAAGTGTCGTAGAGCAGTAGTAAGACAAGTTATTTAAGTGCTCTTTTTAATGAACACAGAGTATTTGTTTGCCCTTTTGTTATGAGAATGATGACAATGGCACCAGCACATTTGCCACAGCAGAATTACTTCTTACGACTAATCAAAGTTGAACTCACCAACCCTCCAATATTTTCCTCCTGAAGCTTCTGCACTGTTAAATTTGGTAATTGTAAAATCTAATTTTAAAGGATTTAGAACAGCACAGGTCTTATGTTGGTAGGTCTTCTGGTATTCAGTTGGGGTTTTTTATTATTTACAAGTGTTGAAAAGGAACTAGTGCACTGATATGAAATTCCACATTAATCTCTAGCTCCATATTAACTGTCAGATCACAGGAGTTTCTTGCATTAACTAATGCTACTTTGCTTTTTACAGAAAAATTCACATTTTGGGATCTTTTCAGAACATTAAAATGGCACGAACAGCAATTTGCAATCTAATTTTAGGTAAGTCCTGTTATCTAATCTTCTCTACTACATATAAATAGATCTTGCAGTTTGAGAAACTACCTTGTAGCTCTTACCTTCTTCCCTGGCCTGTCCACACCTGCATTTGGAGCAGGTAGCTTGCTGGCAGTTGGCTTCTGGCCCTTAAGAGGTGGGAATGAATCAGGGAGTCCAGGGCTTCCTTTTTTGCTCCAAAAGCCCTCAGCATAGTGCAGAAGGAAGATTAGAGTGTCAGAAACCAAAGGGGACAACCTAGAAGTTTAACTATGCTTGCAGTAAGACAGAGTGGCTGACCTTCTGACCATCCTTCTCACCCTTGGGCTTAGTTCTCCAGTTCTAACAGGTGTGAGAGCAAAACATCCATTTCTATGACACAGATTCTCATCTGCTGACTGGATTTGTCCCTTCTTCCTGCAGGAAGTCCTCCATCCAAAGTTTATGGCAACATTAGGGCAGTGGCCAGCAGAGCAGCTGAGAGGTTCTGAGCTGCACAACTCAAGGACAGGGGCTGGAGTCCTGGATCCTGGATGCATGAGAGGCCTGGAGTTACAGAAACCATCAGTCTTCTGCTCCATTTGGAAGCCCAGAAGAAAACAGGACTGTTTGTGCAATGTGACTGCCTTCAGACATGTGGTCTGAACATACTTAGTATTTTTGTATAGTCATTAAAAGGTATTTAAACTGGTTGTGCCTATATCAGAAGTAAAGGTTCCTGATTTTACATACACTTCATTATGGGTTTTCAGAACATCAAAGCTTTAAGAGGTTGCTGTCAGAACTTCAGAAAGCCTTTGAGTTTAATGTTCTGAGCCTGAAGGAGTTGGCAAAGTGTTTATGACCACACATCATGGTTTAGTATCCTTCCTGGAAAAAGGAGGAGTCAACTGGAATGCAAAGTTCAGTGGCAGGCTGCCCACAGTGTCTCTGCTGCTGCTGGAACAATGCAGCCAAAGGAAAGAGGTAAATAACGTATTTGCACTTAATCCTGAATCTGCACATATATAGATTTTATTTTTTTGTTCTCCTGAAAACGATCTGGGAGGACATCCCAGTGAAGCTAAGAGTCGCCAGGTTAAGAACATGTCAGGACACCAGAGCACACACAGCTGTAGAGTGCTGTGTCTGAAATGCTACATGCATGCAACAAGAGAAGGGGAGAGATTAGAGAGACCAGTCACAGTCCCACTAGGACTTAAAAATCGGCCCTTTTCTCCTAACCCTGCCAGCCAAACTTGTGGCCAAGTCTCTTACAAAATAATTCAGTTCAGGTTTGTGAATGGAAACAAAAACTGAAAGGAGATTAGCAAACTGAGTAAGCATTTCGCTCAATGTCCCGAGTTTCCAGAGCAGCACTTTAGAGTATGGGATTATCATTACAGCCAAATTGATTCAAGCCTTCAGCTGCCAACAGATTTGAGACTTGCTGAGTAGAGTCCTCAGCAGCCTGGACCATACAGGGGAGAGTGTGTCCATTCTGAGCAGCTCCAGCTAAACAAACCTGGTCAGTGCATTTTCTATTGATGGCTGCTTATGACATTTACCTCCAAAAGGTAGGGAAGAGTGAGGCAAGAACACACAAAAGTAATGTTTATCCTAAAGCAGGTTTGGAAATACTGAAACAGCCCAGCCAAGATTCAAATATTTTATTTTGTATTCATAGAGTATGAAGGTTCTTACAGTTCCCACAACATATGATGTAGCATGCAGAGGAAAAACTAAACATTCAACATAAATCATTTTTCCCCACACAAACTAAAAAAAAACACCTCATCCCTCCCCTTCCAGTCCCCCTAAGGAAATAACATTAGCACTAATTTCTATAATGCCAGCCAAAATATGCACAAGCAAGAGAAATTGAAAGCATTTGCTAAAATGTTTGTAACAAATACTTATGTACAAAAAATTCACAAAAGACTAGTTCCCCCTTGAAGCAGAGCACATGGCAGTTGACACTGGAACAGATACAACCACTGGCTGGGATTATAAACCACGTACTGATCCAGAGGAAGAAAAAAATTACATGTAGTGGAGATTTTTGTTTTGAACATTAACATTTACCAAAGTTTGGCAACATTATCTTTTAAATTATGCAAATTATGTAAACAAGAGGAACATTTCAAATCGATCTACATGCAAAACTTCATGTCATGCAAGGACACCAAGCACCTGGATTTCTCTCTCACAGACAGAGCCCATGATGTGCAGCACTCAGTTGAAGGAACAGCTATGGCAGACAGGTGCTCGATTGAAGAGGTTCAGACAACCTGCACTTTCCACTGCTCGTTATAAAACAATTTTTGTTAATAGAAAAACTACTATACAGGAAAGATGTACTGTCCTAAAAAATCTAGCAAATGTTTTTCTTCCAGCCAATAGTACCACTGCAGAAAAGGGAAGGGATGATATAAAGTTGTAAAACATGGCTCGCTACTTTTATATCACACAAATATATCAAGTTACCTTCTGTTACAAATTATGATATGGACAAATCTAGAAAAGAAAAAAAAAATTCTCCAGGCAAAGGACTGGAGAACTGCAAGAGGTATAAATTTAGATAGTGTGAAGTTTTCCTCCTCTATGGCATAGGTTAACAAGATTTCCCCCCTGTATGAATCCTATATACATATATATATATAAAATATTACCAGTTATTTATGCTACCTGTAGTATTTTTTTAAATGCAGGGAGGAAACTATCATGGTTGAAACAACAGAATTTAAATGGCAAGAACATTTTATAATCTAAGTACTGTAAAAAATAAGTAGATGGGAATCCTGCACAGTTACGTTGATCCTAATTTCATTAAGCTAAGCACAAGAGAAAATCATGAATGCACCTAACAGCTTGAGCAGCTGTTTCTAAACTGAATCCAGAACAGCAGATCTGTCTTGGTTTCAGGACAGCTGTACCTGCTCCCAATTCCTAGGTGACGGAATCTAACAGCCATCAAAGCATTCCGCAGTCACTATATGCACACGAGGACTAGTTCTTGGCAGTAGCATTAAACTATATTCTCATATTAAGTAGAACTGTACTAAGTTATTTAGCAAAGAGACACAGTCCCTGATAATATATTAACAGGTATAAATAAACTTAGTCTCCTGTGTTACAAAAAAAAAAGTAATTAAGGTGATTTAATAAGAAGCAATGCTTTGTCAGCCAGTCAATATATAGAAACATCTGAACAGTCACAGGAAAAGGAAAAGAGTTGACCTAACACCCAGTTAAAATTTTACATTCTTCTACTATATATATAAAACTGTGTGAAATAAAAGTAAGGATGTATATCCATATATTGAACTGTTAATATTCTGCTTGGCACTTTGTACTCTAGTTTTGTTTCTGAATCAAGTATATTAAATTAAAGCCCACCTAGCTACTACATATAGAAAGCTACATATATATCTATATATAAATACACACACACATATATATATATAGATAGATATTTCCTTGTTATAAAAGATGAAGAAAAATAAATTAAAAAGCCAACCCCTTCCCTTTCTCCGCCACACTGATATGCTCTTTCCATCTTTGCTGTCCTTCAGACTTTAAAGTGCTACACTGAGTTATTGAGAGAATTAAAGTTCAATAACACTTAGTTGGCTTCATGAGGCTCATGTTGGAAAATGTGGCTTCACAGAGAAAAATACTTCCATTTAAATACACAGAGAGCATTGCTGGACGTCTGGAGCAGATCTTCAGAGATGGAGAAGAAAGCAAAAGTGTTGGGTGGTGCCCTACAGAGTCACACGTCTACGACCATCTTTTTGTGGATATCTAGGCCTCCTACAACCTGGGAGAAAAATGAGGTTCAGAAAGATGAGAATTGAAAGTTAGCAAGGCACGAAGAACACATTCAATAAATGCATTCAGGTCAATCATAAGTTCTTCCCTGGCCTCTCCACACTGGTTTACATTTCACAAGTACAGTGAGAGGGGGAAATGAATTATGTACAAACCAAAGGAGTTGAGTATTAGTACAATTTACACACTCAAGGGCCTGAAAACCAGTGCAAATGGCACCATTTTGTCATTTGTCTCCATCTCATATTCTGACCTTGTACTATGTTTCTGCATGTTAAATAAAATGCTCACTCAACTTCTGAAACACCCTGTAAAACTGCATCTTTCCATGAGAAGCAAAGGGCCTTGGAAATGGCAGAAGGATTTCTGACAGAACTGCACACACCCAGAAAAGAATTAGCAGTGTTTGCAGGGGTGTGAGTCATGCAGAGAGAAATGAGAAGGAAAGGTGCCCTGTCATAGGAACTTCTTAAAATGCAGAAAGAAAATTCAAAGGCCAAATCATATTTGCCAAATGCAACAAATGAAAAAGTATTTTTGTAGATAGACAGCCCAAGATTCAGAGAAGGTAAAATGGCAGAACAATGGGATAAGTGGTTGTACAAGTGAAAAGTGTCTAGTCAGGAGGTCAACAAAACCTGAAGAAATTAAAGGAAGAGGAAAATCCAACAGTAGTACAAGACAGGAAGTCTCAGCAGAAGCCCAAGGACAAAAGAAAAAGGAAAATCACATTTGATGGACACCTGGAAGACTTGCCCAGTGCAAGAAATAAACAGGTAATGTGCTGATCTGGGTGTTAGCAGGCTGTGACTGAGTACTTTGCAGATGACCATGTGTTTGTTACATGATGTCACAAAAATAAATAAGCTTTATAAAAACCCAAATATGCAAACAATAGAACCTTTTCACAGAATCCAGAATGTTCAGTTGGAAGGGACTCACAAGGATCATCATGTCCAACTCCTGGCCTTGCACAGGACAGCCCTGAGAATCACACCATGTGTCTGAGAGCACTGTCCAAATGGTTCTGGAACTCTGTCAGGCTTGGTGCTGTGACCACTGCCCTGAGGGGCCTGTTCCAGTGCCCAACCACTCTCTGGGTTTTAGTCTAATAGCTGGGAGGTGGCAGATTTCTCCACACACACACACCTTTTTTAAGAACTCACATTGACTATGAACAAGTTATGTTTGAACTGAAGTTGTAAATTCAAAGAGTAGGAAACAAAAGCAATGCCCAAGTGCCTATGAGCTCAAACTATCCTACCAGGTGTATGTTCATTAATACACCTTTTAAAATTAATAAGCACTCATTGTTGCCATTTCCAAATGTTCAGGTTTCAACATGACATTTACTTTTTTAAAAGAAAGAATTAAAACTTGCTGTCAACTAATTAAACATACCACATGGGTCAAAATCAACCATTTCAAGTCTCAAGTGCTACACTGAAGCATTCTGCTCAGTAAACCCCAATGTTCTTAAAATCCACACTGCAACTGTTTGCCCTTTTTCCAGAGCAGCACTTGAGGGGTTTCTCTCCCTGTAAATGACACAAGTTTTCTTTAGAAGTTACTTACAGCACAGAATTCTTCAAAGGATATTCTTCCATCACCATCCTTATCTGCATTAATTATGGTTTTATCTACAATTTGCTGTAACTGAGTGTCTTTGAGATTGTTCCCAACCATCATCTTCAGCACCTGAAAGAGCTCTCCATTTGAGATATAGCCATCTTTGTCCATATCATATATGCGAAAAGCAACTGCAGAAGTAAAAACAAAATTAAATAAATTTATATTAAAAAAACATGCAGTAAGAAATGTGGTCAGAAAAGAGCAATATACCCACATCAAAAGTCTCAATTGAAATTGTTTAAGCAGC